CAGAGAAAGGCATGTTGGCGTCCCCATCCCCTCTCACCTCCTCAGTCAGGCCTTGCTGAAGCCAGTCCATTCTCTCAGACAAGGTCCCTCTGAGAGCCTGTCACTCAGCAGGTCAGAGTCTCCCTTCTTCCAAAAATCAGAACTTTCTTCCATTCCACATTCCCTTTCTGATACTGCTGCCTCTCTCTTTTCTTTCAACACAAAACTTCTTGAAAGTTATCTACTGTCAGTTTCATTTTCTTACCCTCCTCCTCTCTCTTCAAGCTTCTGCTCCTAACCTTGCCTTTGAAACTGTCCTTACCAAAATCGTTAATGACCTTACTTTGCAAAATCCAAAATGCAATTTCTAGATTTCACTTATTTGGCCCTTTGACACCAATTGACATGCTGACCTCTGCCGCTGCCCCCCCCCGGCAAATACCCTACTCCTTTCCACTGCATGACAGCATTCCCTCCTGTTTCCCTTCTGTTTCTCTGGTCATACCTTCTCAGTTTCCTTATACAAGTCTCTTCAAGATTGGTGTGCCTCAGGATTTGGGACTTGGCTCTTAGCTTTTCTTATACATTCTCCCTGAACAAGCTTACCCATTTCTATTGCCTCAATTTCTAACTATATGCCGATAATGACTCTCAAATAGGTATTTACGGTCTCTCCTTAGCTGTGGTCTCTCCTTAGCTGCGGTCTTGTACGTCCAATGTCTTGTTAGACATTTCCACTTGGATGTTCCACAGTATGTCAAATACAGTAAAGTCTAAAATTGAACTTATTATTGCCCCCACGTCTATGGTAATAAGCAGTACTGCCATCCACCAATTTGCCCACATTAGAAATCTGGGCCTCAACCTTCATTTCTTTATCTTCATTCCCAACATCCAATCAATGTCTATGTCCTTTGGATTTTATTCCATTTACATCTCTTGATCCCAAGCACATGGCTCCATCCCCATGATGATTATCCCATCCAGGCTGCTCTCACTTCTCACCTAGACATTTTAATTGCTTCTTAACCAGGCCTCCTGACTCTAGGTTTGCTTCTTTCCAACATTTTTCCCACATGGTAGACAGATTTTTCTAAAATGCAAATCTGAATATGTCAGTCCTCTACTCAAAACCCTTCAATAACAACCACCTATTACCCTTAAGATGTCAGGCTTTATGGTGGACTAAAGTTACCCTTGCACTGCAATAAACTAGATTCTGGATAAAAGTCACCTCATTCCCTCCTCCAAAAACGTAAGCAGAGGCTAAAGGAGTAGGGTTATCCTAAGGGGTGATGTTAACAGCAATGCTGCTGAAACACTTAACTTTGGGCCAGTGGTGAAGTGGGAGAACTAATCATGGGACTCTTGATACTGAGCTGGGATCCTTGCAAGGTATGCTAAAGTATTCCAGGTCAGAAGTGGCCCTTGACTACTGGCAGAAACTAAAAAAAAGTTAATCCCCTCTAGAGGGAAGCTCCAACCTAACCTGACAGAATTCCCATAGATTAAAAGAAAAAAAATGAGCTCACAATTAAAAATCAACGAGCACATGGAAAGGCAAGCACTATGAGAGTCAGAAGAAACAAAGATGTAAATCCTCAAGGACTACAAGTACTAGAATAGTCAGATGAAGAATACAAAAGAACCATATATTAATACTTAAAGAAATAAAAGGCACAGGGGCGCTTGGGTGGCTCAGTGGGTTAAGTGTCTACTTTGGCTCAGGTCATGACCTCAGGGTCCTGGGATCAAGCCCCCGTGTTGGGCTCCATGTTCAGCAGGTAGTATACTTGAGGATTCTCTTTCTCCCTCTTCCTGCCCTTCCCCCACTTGTGCACGCAGGCTCTCACTTTCTCTCTCTCAAATAAGTAAATAAACCTTTAAAAAATAAAGAAATAAAAGGCACAATGACAAGGATGTACAAATACTATTGAAAAGAGACAGATTTGGGGGGAAAACTTGTAAAAATGTAAAATGGCTTTGAAACAAAGAAACTCCATCAATAGGCTGAACAGCAGATTAGAGTGAGCTGGAGAGAGAATTAATGACTTGGAAGATAATATATCTGAAGAAATTTCCTGGAATTCTGTGAGATTAAGGAGATAGGATGATGACTGATAAGCTAAGGGGTTTGGAAAATAAAAGGCTTAACATACTTCTAACTGTAGAATCCCAAAATGAAGGAATAGTGAGAATGAGAGAGAGCCACTTTTGATGAGATAATGGCTGTAAAATTTCTATAAATGAACATAAATCTGCAGATCCGGGAAGTAAAATATCTGAGAAATATGTGCTACAGTAGCCAGTCTACTAATAACCTCCAATGATCCTTACCTTTTGGTATTCATAACCTGTATGCAGTTGCCCCCCCAGATTTTACCTGGGTTGGTCTGTGTGAGCAACAGAATATGACAGAAGTGACAGCATGCCACTTCCAAGATTAGGTTATGAAAGACACTGTGGCATCCATCTTGGTTGTTCTCTCTTGGATCACTTGTTCTGGGGAAAGTCAGCTGCCATGTCATGAGCAGCTATAAGGAGAGGCCCACATGATGAAGAACGGAGGCTTCCTACCAGCAGTCCTGTGAGTGAGCCATTTTGAGATGTTCAAGCCCTCGTGAAGCTTTCAGATGACTACAGCCCCAGCCAACAGCTTGACTGTAACCTCTTTAGAGACCGTGAATTAGAACCACCCAAATAAGCAGCCTCCAGATTCCTGACCCTCAGAAAAACTATGTGAGATAACAAATACTTAAGCTGCTAAATTTGGGGGGAATTTTTACCCAGGGGTAGATAACTAATACACACACTAAGACCAAGCAGACTTACAAAGAGCCTTCTCCATCTGGTCAAGATTGTCTCTCCAGTTTCACTTCTTGCCACACTCTTTCCAGCTTATTACATTTCAAACACACCAAACTTCTAGTTTCTGGAATGCATCATGTTCTCCCCCACCTTCAGCCCTCCATACAGCTCACGTGATGTTATCCACTGCCTAACATGTTCTTCAACACCTTCTTCTCTACTTCCAACGCGTATACTCTGTTGGCTAGCTTCTACCCATCATCAGAGCACTCATCACACTGTATGATAAAGTCTTGTTAAACTGTCTGTCCTTCCATTAGACTGCAGGATCCAAAAAGGTAGGGACAATATCTGTCTCCTTCATTATTACGCCAACACAGTTCCAAGCACAAAGAAAGTAGTCCATAAATATGTGTCCCTTATAGCCCACAGGATAGGGACAGGCAGGAGGCTAAAGGTGGAAGAATGTAAACATTCTCAGGCAGTGATCCAAATGAATCTTCAGCCCTAGCAACTGAAGTAACTACAAAGGAACCAAGAAACCCCTATATTCCATACAACCTCAGGTTTAGGGAGGGCTTGGGGTAGGGTCAGGACTCAAAAGTTGGATACGTTCCAGCTCCTCCTAAGTCAAACCAAGTGTTATGGTTTCATTATGATCCTTGAATTGAAATCTATGAACATTAGACACACACATTCTTAAAAATACACTCACAACTGTACTTAAAGGACAAATGGAAATAATTTTTTTAAAGTAATCTCTATGTCCAAAGTGGGGATTGAACTCACAACCCTAAGATCAAGAGTCACATGCTCTACTGACTGAGCCAACCAGGTGCCCCACAAACAGAAATATATTTTTTAAAATGATCATCTGTTCTGTATTTGTAGGACAATTCCATTGATATTTAAGACCTAATCAGAAATGTGCCGAAATATGAACATCCACACACATGTACATATATACATGTCATAAAATATTAATCACTAGTACCCTCTACTGGTGGAGATACCTTACCGGCTCATATGAATGGTCTTATTGCCCTCTAGTGACCACAACCTATAAAGAGAAAATCCAGCAGCAGATGGGAGAATCTCCTTGGCTATAACGATAGGGTTTTATGTTCTTTAAGCATCTAATTTTCTCAGATTCTGGTTTATATTACAGGGGTGCAACTCTCCAGACTCTTGGGGGGCCCTCCGGGGGATTTCACATAGCTCTTGCCAGCTGTTAGCACCAGTCTGAAGCTGCTCTCTCTTCTGCTTCTCATGCGCAAGAGGTCAAGGGGAGGCAGAGAAGGCAATGGTTGCACTAGCGAGGCCAACAACAGCAGCTGTGAATGACTACCTTGGGCTCCCTAGGGAGTTGGGAGCAGCTTGAGGAACACATGTTGGCCCTCCCCGAATATTATTCACAGTTGTGTACTGTACTAAAGTGGCAATTCAACGAAGTCCCTGACTTACCTTTTAAGTATCTCAGTGCTATAATAAATGATGTAGCGGCAAATGTTGCTATCATTTTGTTTTTACAAACCACACTCTGCAAGTTATTTCTACTCAAGACAGAAAAGCCCAGATTTAACGTCAAGATCTAGCTGAAATGTCCTCTCTTCTACGAAGCCTTTTCTGAATCCCCCAGATGTAAGTGACTGCTCTGTCCTCGGTGCCAGCACATACTTTGTACAGATCAGAATGACATCCAGGATATTATTTATAGGCTTTTGTTTATAACCTACAGTATTTTCTGCTCCTGATCGTCTACATGCTTGTTTCTCCCACCAAACCCTAAGTTCCTAGAGGTCATAAACCATGTGTCAGACATTTCTGAACACCCAGCAGCAAAACACACTCAAAAAGTTATCCTTAGATCACTGTTGGTTACCAAGCCATGAGTTAAGTACAGAAACTGAAGTAAGCATTTAGAAACTTTGAAAGCAATTTGACAGAGTAATTCTGTATCTGTTGAATCTAACAACAACAACAAAAAAGCAGGGCATGTATTTTGTATATTTTCTTTTTCTGGCAATTTTTATTATATATCATAAAAATATTGGTCTGCAACCAATGGAGAATTTTTTAAACAACAGTCCTTCATCACAGATAGTTTGAGAAGTGCTGATATGATAAACAACTTAATGTTTGAGGGAGGAAGAAAAAGATGAAGGAAGGAGACAAAATATAAGCACTTTTCATAAAATTCAGAAAGAACATACCTATCCTTGTGGATTTTAACACTTCCCTGGAAGGTATTTTCTTCTTTAATTCTCGTAAAGCTTCAACGAGATTCTCTCTGGTCTGATCAGGAAACTCCAACATAGTTTTCCATCTTTTTATGTCTTCTATAACCACAACTCTCTGGGAAAAAGAAAAGTCATTTGGAAAATGGAACATTTTCATTAGAAAAACATCTGCTTTCACCTGAGCTAATGGGGCTCCTATTGACATATGAATTATTGATTATGACCTGAACCAAAGCACAGTGTGTATGATGGCCCCAAATGATGGGTAATTGCTTAAAAGCAGGTCCCGCTTACTGCAAATCAGGAAGAGAGTTACATCTATTAGGAAAAGTGCAAGTTTTAATCTAACCATGTCAGACACCGCTGGGCACTTAGCAGAGAGAGGCAATAAGGATGAGAAGAAAAGAAAAACGATACTAAGGTGAATCAACCCTACAGCTCACTTAAGTGTCTTAATTCACAGGCAAGGACAGAGAGCAAGGAAGTCATAAAGGCATATTTATTTCAACAATAAAAAGCTTTCTTCAACAGCTCCCCACTTCCTAGATGATAAAATTCAAACTCTCTTATTTGAAAAAAATTTTAAAACTTCAAACACATAAAAAGGTAGAATATTTATAATTGGAAAAACTTAACATTTTGCTGTTTTGCATAAAGTAACAAAACATTCTAAAGTTTGTCTCCTTACATCCTTCACTAAACTCATTCCTCTCCTGTTTCTAAAAGAAATCACCAACTTAAAGTTGATACACATCTTTGCATTAAGTGTAAAATATAAACAAGGAATCTGGGTGAAGGGGATGGGGAAGTTCTTTGTGATCTTGCAACTGTTCTGTAATTGTGAAATTATTTTGACTAAGAATTAAAAAAAATTAACATGAAAGATAAAACAATAAAGTTGCTTTTATAGTTACCAAAAGAAATCTTATCTTGCATGGTTACTACCCTGGGGGAGGTAGGCCCAGTTAGGGAAAGGAAGAAGGCACAGAGCGCTTCTGGGATTCCAGTAATGTTTCTTGATCTGGATACTGGTGACACAGGTGTGTTCACTTTGTGAAAATCTGTCAAAATGTACACCCATGATTTGTCCACTTTTCCATATGCAGATTATAGTTCAATAAAAAGCAACTAAAAAAAAAAAAAGTCTCAATTCCCTTCCCTGGCTGGGGTCTGCTTCCAGCCTAGCAGCCCACGGTGGGAGATGTCTGACTCCTCTCCCCATCTTTGCTTCCCTTGCTCCCCCATCTGCTTGGTTTGCTTTGACCTCTGACCCTTCCAAGTTTGAAGATGGGAAGAGGCGCGGTAAGGGACAGGGAAAGCCTTCCCTTCTTTTGTGATACTCCACTAATCAGGTTTTAGTGTGCTTTCTAGACTCAGCAGATGTGTAAAGCTGACCCTTTCTTGTATGGGATGCTTCTGTGGTTCCCTGAAGAGCTCCCATCGTTGAGACCTCACCTGCAGTTCTGGTAATGTTGGCCAGGCCTCTTCCAGCCAGCCGATTACAAGTCCCCGGTTTTTGGCAAACCACTTTACACACTTTCTATAGGGGTGTCACTGTCCTTCCAAGGATCCTTGTGAACCTAAGCCCTTTATTTCTACTCCAGGCCAGCCAGCATTTTCTCTGCTGTACCCACACCTTTGCCCTGAAGAATTCTAAGGGTTAACAGCTTTCCTATACAGCCACTCTGTTTTTAGACTTTCCCAGGCACAGGTCTGGTCTCTGTGTCCACCAGCTCCAGGAACAGAGGTCAAGTTCTCCAAGTGAAAATACCACTGCCCTCCCACTTTATCCAAAGGAACTCTCTCTCCTCTCTTCCTTTATTTTTTTCCTCCTCTCTTCCTTTTAGGTGATACGGTCAGGATTCCAAAATTGGTTTTCACGTACTGCCTTCATAAGTTCTGCAGTCTAGAATCTCATTTGGGAACACTCTGCTTTGTTCTCAGCCTTTAGGTGCTTTAGCCAAAAATGCGACAAGTCCTTTGTTATGATCTGCTACAGTACAAAGCAGTATCATTAGTGCTAAATGGTATGTAAAATAAATAAATGAAACCAGGTAAGGGGATATTTTCAATAGGAAGAAGGTGTAAAGTATAAATATCATATCATTCTGCAAAAGGCTTTTTTCACTCATTATATTTTCTCGATTCATTCATACTGATAGACATAAACCCAGTTGATCCATTTAATAGTAATGAATAGTATTCCATTATTTTTATATATAAATGTCTTAGAATTCTAAAATCGACTCCCCTAATGGATATTTAGGGTACCCCCCACCTAATATTTTTTCCAGTTATAAACACTGCTTGGATGAATTCCTGCCTATGACACATTCAATATTGTCTTCCATCTCTTAACTTTCAACATTTCTGGGTCATTATGCTTAAAATAGCCTATGGTGGCTTTATTTTGCCCCCATCCACCATCCAATCTGAGAATCTCTGTCTTTTAACAGGCATGCCTAATCCATTTGCATTTATGATGGTTACTGATATAACTGGATACACTTCCTCTTTGCTTCTTTTTCTATCTTTGATTTTAACAGTTTAAGTTTTCTTTGCTCTTGTTCTTCTTTATGGTTTGGAAATGATACACTCTACTGCTATCATTTTAGTGTTCATCCTTTCAATTTTTAAGATGTACGCTCAGTGAAATCTGTATCAGTAGCCTCCTTATAAGCCTCTACTGTAGAAACCCCTATTAGAAATATAAACGACTGTCTGTCCTTCGTGTACCTTAACTGTTCTTTCATCTTTTTCTCTATCTCTCTGTGACACAGTCTAAGTGATTTCCTCACATCGAGCTTCCAATCCACTATTTCTCTCTGTAGCTATAGCCTGTCTACTTTTAACCTATTTAATGTGTTTCTGCGTCAGCAATTTTTTCTTCAGATGACTTAATATTTTCCTCAAAATCTGCCCACTTTCTTTTCATACTATCCTATTCTTTTCTTATACTGTCTAACGTCTTTTCTTTATCACTGTGAAAATTCCCATAAAGATCTCTTTGAGGTTGTACTCTTGTCGCCACTTCTTGGGGTAGAAATGCTATTATTTATCTCTGTCTGCTCATTCTCCCTCTGGGAAATGAATTTTCTTGGAGAGTTTGTAATTCTGACCGTGAGTTCATCTTTAATGGAAACTGTTCTCTATGGGAATCTGGTGCCCTAGGTTGTGAGGTGTTCTAACAGGGAAATCTCACATTTGCTTTGGCCAAAGCCTCTGGATTTCTCTGTTTCTATACGAGTTTTTATGCTATTTTATTTTCAGTTTTGCCCAGAGTATAAATTTAAAACTATGCATAGTAATAAGTGTTGGGTTCTAATTTATTGTAGTTAATTCTTTTCCATCCAAAACCCCTGAGAAGATCACAGTCTTCATGCTGTTTCCTTGGACTAGTGGATGGAATTTTTCAAGTTCATTTTTCACAAACATGGTAGACCTGTTTTGGCTCCCAGCTGCAAGTGGGAATTGTTAGCCTGAGGCCTTATCTGCAGTTCCTATACTGGCCCTAATACCTCACACCCCAAGCATTATAAATGGTTTCATAAAACTGTTTAGCTTCAGCTCCCACTTAAAGCTCAGGGTTTGAATTTCCTCTCTCTTCCTGGCATCTGAGGATTTCTCTTTCTTGCTTTCAAGCTCAGCTCTGTATTAGAGACTTTTCATCAGCATTTCTACATGGTTGGAATGAGGTTAGGGATTCCACATCAGACCACTCCAGTATATGGAAACTATAGAAACCCAAACTCTAGCATGGCATAAAAGGCCTTACATGACTTGGCTCCTGACATCTTTTTCAGCCTCATAATTTGCTCCAGCTATAGAAAACTATTTGAAGCTGCCTAAATGAATTGCAGTATTTCACACCCTCTGCCCGGGATGCTCTTTTTTTTTTTGCCTCAACCATATGATAAATACCTATTTATATTTTAAGACTCTTTTCAAGCATCCCCTCTTCTGATGCCTTTCTTGACTCTCTCCTACCAAATCTGACCACACTCCCTTTTGGGTCCTCTGTAATGTGGACATACTTTTATTATTACTGTATCTGCATTTTATGCACATACATTCTTATAAGGCTGTCTTCCCCTCTGACTATAAGCCATTTGAGGGTATGAACAATCTATTTGTCTCCCTCTCCCCAGTGCACAGTAGGTATAATTGAACAAAGCCATCTCTACCCTTAAGGACTGAAGTCCAGTATAGTTTTCAGATCTGAAATTTTAGGTCAGAAATAGAAAAATCTACAGTCAATTCCAAAACAGAAGAATTCCATATATATCCAAGAAAGTTTCCTTATTTCTGTCCAAATATGGGTCCCAAAACAGGTATTTCAAGTTGTTCTCTGAATTATTTAGAGGAACAAGGGAAGTGGACACAAGGTATCAAAGGGGGAGCTACACAAGTAGTGGAAAGGTTATCATCAGAAAGAAAATGTGCCTTCTCCTATACCATCTGGTCTTAAGTTGTGGATGGCTGGAAAGTCAAGTTTGACAAGTTGGAAACCATCCCACCAGAGGGGGCAGGGGACAATCTATTGGCTGCTCAGTCCTACAAAAGCAGCAAAGGTTTACAGAGCATTCTCAAGTACTAAACCTGAAAGAATTAGCACATCCTAGAATCTTAAAAAAAAAATCTCCGATTGCAACCAACAGAACAAATCACCTTCCCTGAAAGGGAGTAAGAAGAGATTAACCAAATTAACCGTTACCATTCAAATGTATACTACACAAGCTCTATTGGGTCTCACTTTTATTCAATGTGATAAGGCTATGGCAAAATTACTTGTAATAAACCGATAACAGAAGTCCAATGTTCCTAATATTCCAAGATTGTTATACCTCCTCTGCTTGACATTCAGAAATCTCCACTTTCTTAGTTCACCCTAGAGGGGGCAGACAGTGGAACCAGACTGTCTAGTTCCAATCCCAACTCTGCCACTTACAGCTGCATGACCTTGGGCAAGCTACTTAATCTCTCTGTGCCTTAGATTCTTCATCTCTAAAATCTAAATGATAAAAGCATCCATTTCACAGGGCCGTTATTAGAATTTAAAGAGTTAATGCATGCAAAGCACTTAGCACAATTCCTGGCCCATACAAACGGGCTCATAAACGCTGGCGGTAATCATTACTGTCGCTCTCCTCATCACTGGCCCCGGCTCTAGTTTTCCTACACAAGCCTTTCCTTTTCCACACATGAAAACAGGAAATTATTGATCAGTTTTACTGCATGCCAGGCACAATGCTTAGCCCTTTTGATGTGCATTTATCTATTTAGCTCTCATAATAAATAAAGTTGTTTTGCAATAATATTTGTTAAATAGTTTCCTACCCAGACCCTGCACAGGCATCCCCAAATAAGAACGATTACTGTTGATTCAATAAATTTTTACCTACAATGTAGCAGGCGCTGCGTTAGGTCTTGGAGCAGAATCAGAACCTAGTAAGATACTGTGATCCTCAGGAGTTTATAGTAGACTACAGAAAAGTACAGGTAATCTGATAATTAAAATACAGTGAGGTAAGTGCTACGAGAAATATCTGAACCAAGTACTAAGACAGTATTGAAGAGGGAAGGATTAATTCCCCCCAATGGACCCAGAAAGCACTTCAACATTCACTTATTTAACAAATACTTATTGACCACTTAATATGTGCCAAGCACTGTGACAGGTCCAAGGATACAGAAGTAAATAAAATTCCCAACATCCCTGTATTCATGAAATTTATAATCTAGGATTCACAGGGAAAGTCACACTTGAGTGGGTTCACAAATGAGTAGAGCCGTCTCCATAAAAAGAAAGAGAAAGGTTTTCCAGGAAAAGGGACCAGCATCAAGTCAAATCCCTGGAAACATGAAAGAGAATGATTCATACAGAGACCAATATATGGGGTGTGGCTGGAATACATTCTTGGAAAAGGGGAGCTATAAGGGATGGAATGAGAAGGCTCCCTGGGGTAGAACAGGAAGGGTCTCATATGCCATGCCAAGGCTTTTAGAGTTTTAGTTCATTCGGTCATTCAGAAAAATGCACTGTGATCTTCTATGTACCAAACCCTGTGCAGAGTACTGGGGACACAAAATTCAGTAAGATGTAGTCTTTCAAGAAGCTCAGAGTGTAGTGCGGTAGAGCATTTAAAAAAATACAATATAGCACAAATAAGGGCAATGACAGTGGCATGTTTAAGATACAGGGATGCATGGGATGCCTGGGTGGCTCAGTCGGTTAAGGATCTGCCTTCGGCTCAGGTCATGATCCCAAGGTCCTGGAATCAAGTCCCACATCGGGCTCCCTGCTCAGCGGGGAGCCTGCTTCTCCCTCTGCCTGCTGTTCCCCCTGCTTGTGCTCTCTCTCCCTCTGACAGATAAATAAATAAAATCCTTCAAAAAAAAAAAAAGATACAGGGATGGCTTAGAGAAGGGAATGATTAGATTGGCTTTCCGTCTGGGGGACAGAAGGGTGATCAGGAAAAGCCTCACAGTAGAGGAGACACTTGAACTAGGTGATGGGGGACAAATAGGAAGTCATAAATTGATGATAACAGCAAACACTTGCACATTACTTAGTATGTGTCAGGTTCTGTTCCAAGCACTTTATATATATTGACTCCCTCAACCTTCATAACTACCTTATAAAATAGATACTATCATTATAGATAAAAACACAGAGAGGTTAAATAACCTGCCCAAGTCACACAAATAATAAGTGGCATGGCTGGGATTTAAACATAGGCAGTTTGGCTCCAGAGTCTGTGTTCTTAATTACCACACTATACTGCCACCAAGCCAAGAGAGTAGGCCATTCCAGGCAAACAGGACAGCATATGCAAAGGTATGGAGGTATGAAACACCACACCATCATGGGGAAATTGTGAGTGGCTGACACTGGATAGAATGTAAACAAGAAGAGCAGCAGGGGATGAGGCAGGCAGGTACCAGCTCACAGAGGGCCTTGGGTGCCATGTAAAGAAATGTCTTCATCGATAGGTAACGAGAAACCACTGAAGGATGAGGCAGGGAAGTGACCTGAGTAAACTGTCTTTTTTATTTCTCTGGCTTAAGTGTGGAAGGGAGAATGAGAGAGGATGCCAAAGGCAGACAGACAAGTTACCAGACCATGGCACTGCTCTAGATGAGAGATTTTTATTTATTTTTTATTTTTTTAAAAAGATTTTATTTATTCATTTGAGACACAGAGATACAGAGAGAGAGAGAGCACGAGCAGGGGGCGAGACAGAGGGAAAGGGAGAAGCAGGCTCCCCGCCAAGCCAGGAGCCCAATGTGGGGCTTGATCCCAGGACCCTGGGATCAGGACCCAAGCCGAAGGCAGACACTTAACCATCTGAGCCACCCAGGAACCCCTAGATGAGAGAGTTTTAAATTTAAAGTGGGAGATGTAAGGACAAGGAGGATTTTTAGGAGGCAGAACTGAAAACTGGATATAAGAGTTAAGGATGGTTTCCAAGTTTCTAGTTCCAGTTACTTGGTATATGGATTTAAAAGTACATACAGGAGGGGGCACCTGGGTGGCTCAGTTGGTTAAGTGTCCGACTCTTGATTTCAGCTCAGGTCATGACCTCTGCACTGAGCATGGAGTCTGCTTAAGAGTCTCTCTCTCTCTCCCTCTCCCTCTGCCCCTCCCCTGCTCACACTCATGTGCTCTCTCTAAAAAAGTAAATAAAAATAAGTAAATAAATAAAGTAAATACAGGAGAATAAAGAACAGGTTTGGAAGAAAAGCTACTGCATTTAAGAGGAATGTCATTCTCTCTACGCCTATTGCTTATTCTGCTTCCATAACCTTCACATGATATATCCGCTTCACACAGGGACTCTCAATTGGGGCATAAGTGGGGACACAGAGGGGAGAAGAGGCAGGTGGAAGTATATTAGAATCTGGATGTTTGTATATGAGTGTATGAGTAGTTCAATTACTACCCTTCTCTTTTTCTTCCAGTTTGGTATCACAATCCTGCCCACCACCATCTGTCTTTGAGAGTCACTGTTGTATACAACTCCATGAGTACTCTGACAAAACAGAGACCGTTGAAAATTTTGATTATGCACAAAACTCCAAGACCAGAAGAGATTTTTAAAGACCATCTAGAATTCAGCAGATCTCAACCAAGGGCTACCTGGAAATACATGAGGGCAGTTTTGCTTATCACAATGGGAGGTGCTGTTGGCATTTAGTGTCTGAAGGCCAGGAAGCCTCAATGTTCAGTAACTCACAGGACAGTTCCAAATAATGAAGAATTACCTTGCCCCACATGACAACAATGTTCCTTTGAAGAAATACTAATAGGGGTGCTCGGGGGGCTCAGTCAGTTAAGTGCCTGCCTTCAGCTCAGGTTGTGATCCCAGGGTCCTGGAATGGAGCCCCATGGCGGGCTCCCTGCTCAGCAGAGAGTCTGCTTTCCGTCTCCCTCTGCCCCTCCACCCTGGCTCATGCTCTCTCTCTCAAATGAATAAATAAAATCTTAAAAACAAAATACTGATAAAGTTCGACCCCACATTTTACAGATGAGGACAAAGTGAGATCCTAGGTAAGGAAATGATTTGCTAAAGACCACCCAGTTGCACCGGAGGGCCTAGAACTCAGGGCTTCTGTTTATACACCCCTGCACTGCTTTCTAATCTGGGTCTGGTAACCCTGTGGCACATGTAGAAGAGGAGTCCAACTGAGTACATAGGTCAAGTACTCAGAACGCCACCTTGCTATCACAGCCCTGTGCACACCTTCTTTAGCCCCAGATATCATTCTCACCATCAGAGATCTAGGCTCGAAGTACAAGTCTGGCAGTCATCAGCACGGGAAGCCTTAAGATAAATAAGGTTACCCTGGCCAAATACATAAAATATGACAAAGCTCTGGGGAGCACAAATATTAGGAGTCTGGTGGAGGAGGAGAAACCAACAAAGGAAACTGAAAAGACCAGAAATGTAAAATGTCAAGGAGGCAAAGGGAACCAATTACAAATATGTTTGTTTTTAGTGAAATAATTTTTACTTTATCATTAATTGGGTACCCATGCCCATTGATTCATTATTGTCTATCTTGTATTTATTCCTTGCCTCTTCTTTGCGAACAGAAATCAGACATGTAGAGGTTGCAAAGAGTCCATTAACACAGTCTGTTTCCCAGTCTCAACTATAGCTGTGAAGGCCATGTGATACAGCTCTGGCCAATAAGACACGAAAATAGAATATCACCACCCAGCCTTACTGAGTTTGTACAGAGTACACAGAATCATATTTGATACTTTAACATTCCTAATAGACAAGAAAATCTTGCAAAAAAAATAACTTAGGGGGCTTGTTCTCTCAGCCAGCAAAACATACCATAAGCCAAAGTAATCAGAAGAGTAACAAAAGTGCATGTGGGAATTGATAAATGAAAGTCTGTACAGAGGAGGGAGGAAACAAATTAGGAGTGGTCCGGAACACTTTGGGGAGAAAGCCTAGCAAGAAAGAATTCATAGGTCTTCCACAGTAGAACTCCGCACCGCCTTGCTACCACAATCCATTTCCACATTTTCTCTAGCCCCAGATCCCCTCTCCCTCTCACCTTCAGAGATTCAATCGTGGCCTGCTTGTAAATCTTTCCACCAGGATCTTTCTTCTGAGGACTATTTTGGATTCTAGGCCTTCGAATGACGAATTTATCCATTGCTAGAGGACTGCCAGCTACCTTCACGTGCTTGCAGCGCTTTCTGCTCAAGAAAGAGGGAAGATTCTAAAACGTCATAACAACTGCTGTGATGTGTTCTCCCTAAAGTGACACAATGGACTTCTATTCTGGAAGCATTCCTGAATTATGAGGACTGTTGGGTAGAATTTACAGGAAAGAAAATTTCGTCTTGGAAAAGAAACATCTTCCTAAGAACTGAAACTGTTATACATGATCGGTGTAATTCCTGGGTTAGGAGGTGCCCAACTTTCAGAAGTGCACGCTGTGCAGGGGATTCCAATATTGGGCCAGGCATTGAACCCGGTGACTTCTAAAAGCCTTTTTCAACTTAGGTGAGGTTGAGGCAGGGTTTAGTTCCACTGGGTTCCATGAGGCTCAATATTAACAACCACCGCACCATAATCACAATCCCAAAGGTCCCCCTAGAAACGAGCAACCAACCACCACCTCCAGATCTCAGCGGATCTTCACAACAAGCAGCCATCTCCAGGAACTGCTCGGTGGTCCGAGGACCCCACCACGAACTGTTGCGCCCTGGATCACTGCGCAAAGGGAAAACACCATCTTCCTCTACCCTCAGCACGCAGGACCCAGGAAGGGGAAACTAACAACGGTCTGACGTGAGACCCACCATGAAAAGCAGTCCGGTCAGCAGCTGGACCCTTCCAGAGCACACCCTCTGAGGACCCACGCCTGGGCCGCCGGGGTCAGAATTATATTGACGCTTCCTTACTGGACAGTGGTTTCTCGGACCTCAGAGCGCCTCGGAACGTCCGCAAACCACATTCCCCAGCATGCACTGCAAAGGAGCGGGTGAGGCGCGCCCAGGGCGACTGTAGTTCTCCGAGACCGACTTTCCCGGCCCCACCGTGTGCCGCCGGTCGCAGTGAACTACATGTCCCAGCGTGCCCCGCGGAGAGAAGGAATCAGGGAAGGCCTGTTCGCTCTAACACTCGCGATGATTGGATCCATCTCTTCTTGCCAACCTAGAAGTTCGTAGACCGGGAGGTGGGGCGGGAGGCGGCAGTTTTGGGCGGGTCAGGGCGGAGCTGAGGAGACGGCGGAGGCGGAAGCGGCGGCCTGAGGGGCGGGGAAGGGGCTGGCCCCGGAAGGCGGAGGAAACCCTGAAAAGAAAACAGCAACAAGCTGAGCTACGGTGACAGAGGGAAACAAAATGGCGGCGCCGAAGGGGAGCCTCTGGGTCAGGGCCCAGCTGGGGCTCCCGCCGCTGCTGCTGCTGACCATGGCCCTGGCCGGAGGCTCGGGGACCGCTTCGGCTGAAGCGTTTGACTCGATCTTGGGTGATACGGCGTCTTGTCACCGGGCCTGTCAGTTGACCTTCCCCTTGCATACCTACCCCAAGGTAGGGCCCGTCCGAACCGGGCTACGACCCTCCCCTGGCAGCCGATCTCTCCGCTCTCTCGCACTTGTGTCGGCTTGGGAAACTGGGTGTCGAATCTACACCCTACAACCGCTGTCTCCCACCTGTGTAGCTCCTGTTTTCTTCCCTAATTCTACCCGCACCCGTCTCCTGCTGTAATTACCGGAAGTTTGTGCTGCATCCACCCTATAATAGGCTGGGGACGCAGAGATGAGCAAGACATGACCCCTTTCCCCTGGCAGTTAGCTGGGCGGCAGGGGAGACGAGCACTCCGATGGGGAGGAGGATATGGATGATTAATGCAGGGTCTTCACTTTCAAGGAGCGTAAGGGATGGTGGGGGGCAGGAGCAGATATGCAAGCTCACAAAAGGTTAGTTCATAACCCATGTTTACTGAGCGCCTCTCTGGGCCGGGAGCTCACAGTATGTTCTGGGAGTCAGACAAGCAGACAATTCCACCTTGGTATGAAATATATTAAGTCAGCCCTAGGAGTTGAGAGACGCAGAGGAAGGGCTTTCCGCCTGTGTTGACTTACTGTGTGCGAGACTGCCACTAGGGCTTGAGGGGGCTTAGAAAAAAAGCAATTAGGTTTCTGCATTCAGAGAACTTACCGTTCAGTGCAGAAGACAGAGGGAATTCGTGGCGCAGGTATAGAAATGAGACCGCCCCTGGGGGGGTCGGGGTCCCAATTTACCGAGGGGAGTGACCTTGCTTTCACTTCTCGTCCGCCTGCGGTTGATGCCTTTCCTTTAATTCCATTCTGCTTCTCAAGTTTTTTGTGTGTTTTTTTTTTCCAACTTAGGAACTCTGTTTACTCAACAGTGACTTCCCACCCTTTCCCATATATAATTTGGATATATGCGCCCTTCCCCCCACTGGCTTTTTTCGTAAGAGCTTTTGCTGTTGTTACTGGTTTTTTTCTCCTTGTATTCCTTTCATCTCCTCTGTGCTGTTGGCTTAACCGTGTGGCTAGCCCTCTTTGCTCTCTCAGACTACGAGGTGACCACGAGGAGAGGGCCAGTGAACTTTAGGATGTTCCTTATTTGCAAATGCTTTCAGGTCTTTGAAATGAAAAGCTCTAAATGCTTTCACTTCCCATATGTCTGTTTACTGCAGGATTTTATGTTGCATGGGGTTTATCAATTTTCAAGAAAAAATGTGGAGATTGATTATCCTAAAATTTTCAGACACCAATTTAGCAATTAGGAGAAAGAAATGAGAGATTCTGACTTCCAGGTTTAAATCAATGTGTACTGCCCCCCTAAACACATTACTTTCTTCTCTACTTATAAACCTGTCGTCATTAAGAAGGTATAAGGAAACTCACTAAGATTTATTTGGCCTGGCATTGAATGGAGACTTATTTTGTATTCTTTTAGTGTTTTCCTGTGTTTTTTTTCCTTTTTTGAGATTTTCCTAGCAAACTTGTAGTATGACCCAGAATGCTGGGAAAATAACTAACTACTATAAATGTTTCTGGAAATTTCAAGTACTTTTATAACATCCACTATTTAACAGTTTTTAACAATTGATGTGATGTCTGTAAGTCATTTTTGCTTATTTATTAGAGCTGTTCTCACCAGGAACTCAAAGTCATTTGGCTCCCTGTATGTTAGGGGGACTTAAAATTTATTAACTGTCTACTCTTTGTTAGTTTGATGGGAGATTTATACCCATTATCCCTAATTGTCATAACCATGCAAAGTAGGATTTTACAGTTGAGGCTCTGAAAGGTTAAGTGACTTGCCTAAGGTCACATAGCTAAGAAGTAGTGAACTGGTAGGAATTCAGTCCTAAAACTGGCTACAGTGTGCTGCCTTCTATTAATAAAGTTGTATGAAAAATATTTAATTTACTTATTTCACTGATTTCTGTTGGCCCTCTGAATTACTGTGCTTTGCAGTTCAGGAAAAAGCATTGTGTGTTACAGGAAATTAGATGAATTAAGAAGCTCACATAGCCTTTCAGTCTGGTATTTGCAACTGGAAGATAGAAATCTCATTTTAATGACTTTTTCGAATTAATTATTTGTTGCAAGAAAGTAGAATATCTGTTTGTAAGTAGTTATTTTAAAATTCCAATATAGTTACCATTTAACTTTCCTCAAAAATGCAGTTGCATAATTTGTCTGGATTCAAATACAAGAGACGTATGTTATGTTAACAGCAAAACTAATTAGAGCCAACCTGGTCATTTTTAAAGAGTGTGGGCTCTAGAACCGTACAAGCCTGAGTTCCATTCCCAGCTCCACTTTTACTCTCTGTGTATCTTTGCTGATCGCTTAACTTCTCGCGACTTCATTTTGTCAACTGTAAAAAAAAAAAAAAAAAACAACGCCTCACACCTTACAGAGCTGGTGTGAGGATTAAAGATAATGTATGTGGCACTCTTAGCACATAAAACCAGTTTGGTACATATAGTATCTGAATAATGGTGCTGAATAATGAGAATAGTTAGCTTGACTTCCTCTGGGAAAGAAAATGCATATATTCTATAAATAGTATCATTGGTGCTGAATAATGAGAATAGTTAGCTTGACTTAGCTCTGGGAAAGAAAATGCATATATTCTATAAATAGTATCATTGAGGTCCCTTCTGATTATTTAGCTGGCATTCAATTTGGTGGGAAGTAAATTTCCTTGTGCTCTAAATCAGAGGAGATACATTTCAGATAAGCTTGCCACTCATTTGAGATACATAGAGCAGGAAATACTTACTTAGGATAATAATATTATCTAGTACATGAAACACTTAGTTGGAATAAGGATATGATTCTTAATGGCTACCAATTGAGCCCCTACTCTGTGCTGGACATTGTATAATACCTTAAGTGTTAGCGTGGTGTCTGGTACTTTGTGGGTGCTCATTAAATATATTATTACTATGCCGATTTATTAGCTCTTATAGCATAATATTCATGATATTGTGGACATAAAATGTATAATCCTCATCATAGTCAAGATTGACATAAGAGTATTGTCCCCATCTTACAACCAAGGAAACTGAGACTGAGAGAGATTGTCACTTGCCCAAGGTTGTACAGAACAAGTGGTGGGGCTGAGCTTCAAAGCAGGACTGATTCCTGGACCTAGGCTCTTTGCAGCATGCCCTACTCTCTTTTGATAATGAGACTGGAGGGCTTTACTGGCTTGGTTTAAGAAAAGAAAACCTACCTGAAAACGAAATGGCATGCAATATAGCTCATATTAATGAGCTCAAGCTTCCTCTGTGCAGTATAAGGAGATATGTGATGCTCCAAATACATAAGAGAATTCTTCCACTGTTTTACAAAGCTGCAAAAGCTACTCAGGTATGAAATTTATCTTAATTGTTAAAATTCTTTCAGTTTCACCTTAACAATAAATGCAACTAGAACTGAGGTCCAAAAACACTCTAGCTTCAAAATTATATGTAACACTTGTTTAATGTCAGGCTGCAGCCATCTCTTCTAAATGGGTGTTGCTGCTGCATACATCTTACTAATCCTTCTGCTGGAAAGAAATGCATACTTTTCTCTTCCATTGATTGCTAACTGGTATATGCACATGCTGTTTGCTTCCTTATTAGGTGCCCGCCAATTTGTACACAGTGGATCACACAGTAAGTTGAGGGGGCTCCCCCAAGTGTACTGGTTTGTGTCCAATACTGTATGTACTTCATCTAACAAAAACCTGTTGAAGACATTGTTATTGGTCTTATTAAGCAGTTAACATTTCCCCATAATGAAGAATCGACCCTATCCTGAGCTCCCTTAGATAGACAATGATGCCTGTAACTATTGTTTTCTGTTTTAAAAAAATATATTATTGTGATTAACACTACTACCATTTATTGAGCACCATCTGTGTCCCAGGCACTATACCAGGAATAGCTATGTTACAGCATTATTGAGAGGTTTGGAGATAATTTATAGCTATTATCTGCTTTTCTGATAAGAAAACTGAGATTTAGATTGGTAAGGTAATGTGCAGTGTCACTCACCTGAACGATTTTAATCCAGGTCTGGCTGATTCCAGAGGCCTTTCCCATACGCCACACTTGGTCTTGTTTGTGTTTTTAGTTAAAGTAAGCCAAGTTTAAAAGCACCTTTCATGTAAGCGTTTTTATAGATGTATGCCTCACTTTGTGGGGGCCTTTATGGCACTGTTTGCCATGTGAAGCTAGTCATTTTTTTCCTGAGAAGCCTGATGATTTGTATAAATATTTATGTGGCAGAGGTATGCCATTCATCCTAAGATACTTGCTTATTCATTTCTACCTCTGTTAAAGGTTCTAATTATGTCACTGTTATTTTTATTTTCAAATTTTTCCAACAAAATGTAACCTTGGAATATGGGAAAAGGGTATAGTTTTTTTTTGCTTGTTTGTTTTTGTTTTTATTTTTACCCACTTCTTTCTTGGGTATCACTTTTAAAATAAGAAACTAAACCTCTTTACATGGCAGA